TGTGTGTGTGTGTGTGTGTGTGTGTGTGTGTCCCGTGTGAAAATGTTCGTGACAGCGATTTCGGGCAGGCTTACTGCGATGAGCTCAAATCTGGAGAGCGACTTTTTGTATGTTACGCACGTCGAGAAATCCATGATGATCACAGTGCGCTAAAGCACATCGCCATAGCCGAGCGAAATACGTAGTACTCCGAGTGAGGTGCGCAAGTCAGGTAACGCACCTGTTCTCTCATTGTTCGCTGCTTTTTTATATGATTCGCTGGATGGTTCTTTGCATGTCGGCCCATCAACCAGAAAGCCTCAACAACTTGACCCCAGACATCCCCGCATGGGTTGACAATACCAATCTGCATATACAGGACACACTAAGACATTCCGCCATGTATATGACCTCAATTGCTGCCTTCTCCTGCATGCATCTGACGGCAATTACATCCAGAGAGCAGTCGAGAAATGCCCTAGTCTGAGTATGCCCTAAAAGTCAAGGCGACTGACATCCTCCTCATGCCGCCCAGCAGCCAGTCGCGACATCGTTCTTGATTTCAGAATTCACTCCGCTGCCCAGTCTCGCATACCTACGGCCCAAGATCTGATGTCCTGATTACCAACCGTGCCACCACATCTCAAACCAATCAAGATCCCCGTTGGCATGTCTAGCCCTATTTTGCAGAGGCGATGCAGAAGGTGATTGGAAACAGAAGAGAAACGACAAGAAGAGAGGCCGGCGCTGTCTCTTCCATCCCGTGCACTTTCACAATCGGATCAACCGATGGACAGATTCCAATCAGATCACAAAAATTATCTCCCCATTAATTAGCCCCACCCCACTAATCGAGCAGGACAAGAGAAAAACTAAACCGAAGAAAAAACATGCTTGCCTGATTCATCCCTCCTCACACGACACTGATGGTAAGTCCTGGCGGCAAAAAATGATTGGTTGGCCTTCGGGACGCTGACCGCAACCTCGCAGCGAGACGAACGACGTGATTGCCCTCGTGAGGATTTATCGACGGCTTCGTCGCCGTCGCCGTCTCCGTCGCCATCACCAACAAGCGCTTAACGATGGCAGATGCCACTTCTTATAAGTAGGGAACTGTTAGGCAAAATTTGGGATCCCACTTCTTTCCACGAAAGTAGGATCCCGTCGCGGGGCTAGGTCCCACTTCCACGAATTAAGAGATACTGACCGTAGATAGCAAGGATCAACGACCGAAATCTCCTAATTTGCGCAAATGGGACCTTGCCCCCGGAATGTCACGGAACGGTCTCGTACGTGGAGGCTCGAGCGTGATTGCAGGGGCGGTAGTTCTTCCGATTTTATTTTATTTTATTTTATTATTATTGTTTTTTTTTTTTTTTATCAAAGACTCCGATCTATTATTGGGGAGCGTCACAGCTGGGAAACGGGCCCAACGTCACTTATAAACCACTAGCTAAGC